GGTTATTGTTAAACAGTAGGAAGGTTTTCGTTGTTCAATTTTGTTCAAACCGCGTTGCGTTTTCATCTTTCAGCTTGTATTTGTAAATGATGGAATACGCTGATTCCTCTGTGTATTTTCCATTTACATTTACTCAACAAGACATTGACAATGTTCTTTATGGATACATTCGCACTCCAGAAAAAACAAACAATGGATTTGCATTGTCTGGAATCTACATCAACGCACCAAACAGTGGTAAGCATGCGCAGGTGACTCTTCATGATTGGTTAATGGGGAGGGCTGGTTGAACATTTGAATAAGTAGCGGTTAATGATTAACATAAGAAAACAGTGGTTTTAATAAGTTGACCGAGTTTACCTTGCCGCAATTTTTTAATGAAATGTCGTAAATAATCATAAATTTTGTTAATTTTGCCTTCGTTTGCTGTGACATTGGTCTGGAAAACTGGCATCTCATCGCATTCTAAAACATATGTAGTTTTGCTGGAGACAAATGATTGATTCTGCTATATTTCCACGAATTAAGCATTTGCATGAGAAACCGCTAAACTTCTGAGGCTAAAGATGTGACATCTGACAGAATCTTTTCAATTGAAGAAATCCAGTGGAACCCATGGCTTGCCAACATTTCTCAAGTACATCAAGAAACAACCACGTGCCACCCCATGCCATATATGGAGTTGTTTCATGAAGAGCTGTACGTTCAAAACTTACCTGAGACTGTAAAAATTGTGGAGACAGTTTTACCGACTGGAAGACACAGAGCAGTGTTTTGTGGCCAGCGGAGGATTTCCAAAGGAACACGGTTTGGTCCGTACACGGGGAGTATTGTTTTACCGCTGGATTTGAGATCACTGGAAAAGAACTGCGTCTGGGAGGTAATTTGCATATAGGTCATTTTCACATGACGCCATGGTGACCAAATTGGTTACCAAAACGAAAGAACAGCGGTCATATTGATGTCCAAAGAACACAGTACTGTCACAGTACTTGTAGACGCCGATATGCGTGTTTACTTGATATTTTCAGATTTGATGATATTTTTATCACTTTAGACTGTAACAAAGCTAAAATAAGAGAACTCGAATTCTTTTATAAAACTGAATTTTATCCAATGAGGCCAAGCAAATCTAACTATTCTGCATTGATGGAGCACTTTGTCAGTAAAATTGAAAGCTTACAGTCTTTCGTATTTGTTAATATTTCAGATATTTCAAGACGGAGAATTGACACATTATGTAGACGGAGCAGGCGACCAAACAAACTGGATGAAATACGTCAATTGTGCAAGGCACGAGGCCGAGCAGAACTTGGTACTCATTCAAGAAGACGGAGAGCTGTTTTATGAAGTCTCCAAGGACATTGCTGAAGGAAGCGAACTTTTGGTTTGGTATGGGGATAGCTACCTTAAATATATGGGTATTCCCATCACCATGAAAACCAAAATGACCAAGATGGACAATGAAGGAGGAATCGGTACGGAATTAGGCTTGTATTTTATCACTCAAGTAACATTTAAAGGATTATGAGAAGTCGCCATCGAAGTTTTTCAGCCGGTCACAAGTTTTTTGGGAAAATGGTTGAGTTTGACTTTATGGACTTTTCTGCGAATCCCTGACCTCGTAGTAAGAAAAAAAATCCAATTTTTGCCATGAGAAATGTTCTTTAATGGATGTAAATTGCACAAACGATCGAAAGGCGTAAGATAAATTCAATTACTAGCCTATACTCATTTGTCTAACAGGTGATTTAAAATCTCACCCAAACAAGTTTATTCCAAAATAAACGATACCAACACCAATGATGACGTCGAGGAAACAGCTACAATTTTCAATTTCTTTCTTTCCTTCCTAAAAACTGATTTCAAGAAAGGCTTAAATCTATTCCTGATAATATGTCTGTTTGAATTCACTCTGCACGCTGTCAGCACTAGCCACATTATTTCAGTAAGAAACTATGGGGCGGGAGTGAACACCGTGAGAGACTGATCTTGATATATGTCCCTTACACTAAACGTGATAATCAATAGGTTATTTTTAGAATCAGGGTACCTGATCCTCAGTTATTATAGTTTCCTGTACCCCGCATGAGATGTTCCCGCAGGAAAAATTCGTGACATAGGTTGAAAATTCCAGAGACCATTACACAATCTCTGGAAACGGAAGTGTGCTATAATTTATTGACGGAGGACTTCATTGCGATGATGTTTCTGTGTGAATCTAGTCCTCGCTTGATTAAACTTAATCTAGTTGACTGTGAGCTTATTTCAATCTCATTTTCCATCAGGTGGAGACAGCTTTGCTTGTGACCGTTGTGGTAAAGTTTTCGCCTACAAATATTACCGTGACAAGCACCTCAAATACACACGATGTGTCGACCAAGGTGACCGGAAGTACCCATGCCACCTATGCAACCGCTCCTTCGAAAAGCGTGACCGTCTTCGCATACATATCTTGCATGTCCATGAAAAACACAGACCTCATCAATGCAATCAGTGTGGCAAGCGGTTTTCACAGTCCTCGAGCTTAAACAAGCATTTAAGGGTACACAGTGGGGAAAGGCCGTATAAGTGTCCCTATTGTATCAAGGCGTTCACTGCGTCATCCATTCTACGGACCCACATCCGACAACACAGCGGAGAAAAGCCATTTAAATGCCGACATTGTGGCAAAGCGTTCGCCTCCCATGCAGCTCATGATAGTCACGTGAGACGCACGCATACCAAAGAGAAGCCTTGCATTTGTGAATTCTGCGGCAAAGCATTTGCGCAGTCGTATGAACTTAAATTTCACATGAACATGCACACAGGTGAGAAACCATACACCTGTGAAAAATGTGGCCGAGGATTTTCAAGCCCTTCGTCTCGTGATCGCCATCGATCAAATTTTGATTGCACCACTCGGAAAAACCGAGCTCCGAAGATGATGCGAAAGGGTTCCGAAGGAAATGAGAGTGACTTGAATGGCGCAGACGCAGACGGGTTTATAGCTGAGGAGGGACAAGTTAAATAACTTCTGCTACTTATCTAGTAGCTTACAATTTCAAATATCAAAATTCATAAGATTTGAAATTTTTTCAAACGGGTGTAAAGTTTATCAATTCATGCTTGAAATAAGAAACTATCTATTTCGAGCTGTCAGTGACAGAATTGTCACCTGGTTGCACGCCGCGCAACCTCCAGACGGTTGGGTAAAAAAGAACTGAGAGAGACAACACCAGAAAAAGCAGACATTATAATAAAAAGAGCTGAAGTACAGAAGACTGTTTGAAGCTAACGTTTTTTCAATTATTTATCTATCCATTTATTAATAACAATTTAATAGGTAATTTAAATGGAAATCAAACAGAACTAAAGTTCAAGCCACCTTAACCCCAAATAAAAACAGAAAATCATGTTAACTAGTAAAACAGAATAGAAATATGCCTTGGTTCCTTCACCAAGGAAACCTTATTCAATCCTCTCAAAGTTTTAATCAAAATTACATTAAAAACTGAAATTTTTCGGAAGAAATGCATTACACATGGCATGATTGTCTCTTCCCACTTGCTTCCTACATGAGTGGTTGTTAGTCAGCGGTGCTCGCTTTTCTAATTGTCGGGTAAAGTAGTTTTAAGCGTTCTCTTTGCCTGAACTTCATCTGCTAGATATTTGATTGTCATTTTCAGAAAATCAGCAAAAGAGAAAGGAAAATCAAGTTATGATAATCAAATGATTGTTATTCAAATCGTCTTTCAAAACCAGATATGTTTTTAACGGGTTGCTTTGAGAGAGTTGGCGCGAAAGTCATGACGTCATGTTTCCATTTAAAAATGTGACCAAGCTAATCTATTATCCAGTCGGATAATTTTTTGCTTTTAAAGTAAATTCTATCTACCGATTGAATCACCACTGTTCAAGAAGGATTAACTCACTCAAATCATTATTAGACTCCTGATATCTTGTCTGTCAGCGAGGTAATAATATTACAATTTCTTAAGTATATCTTAAGTATTTCAGTGACATGAAAGCGTCACGCTGTCAGGACGTCAACCATTTACATCCTGACATTAGTTCTCCATACTGTTCTACTGAAATTTACTGGGGAGCTGAAAAGGAGAATTTGTCTATCAGTCAAGAGCCACTTTAGTTGGTGATCATCTCCTTTATTCTCGTTACTTTAATGTTTTGGTTCAGGGGTTAGATTAGATGCTAGTCGCTCTTAGGGTTAACACAATCAGCGACTAAGAGTTTGGTTTTTGAAGCGCATCAAAAAATTTATAATCGAGGACGAACTAGAAAAAACCCAAGGAGTCAGCTTGTACTAATACCATTGAGGAAGGAGGAATAGTATCTTTATTTGATCCGCCTTTAACAGGTTACATCGAACAATGCGCTTTTATGTGGCCGACATCTATTACCCGCTCAATACTAAGACCCTCTGAATTTGTAACTCTAATTTAAGTTGACTAGTTTTGGCTGATCTTGTTTGCGATATCCCTTTAAGCGAAATGACACATCATTTTATTTAATTCTTAATGCCTTTCGTTAAATCCTTTTTTATTTTCCACCATAAGTGCCTATTCTGTATTTGGTTTAGGTTGCAACAAATCTCTTGGCATTAAATTGCAAGTATTTGAATGAGAAAAGAAAACACGTACCATGTACTTTATTACCAAAGTCACTATTTTAGTGCAATATGAACTTAGACTTACCACACATTAAGATAAGTTAAGCGTTGAAGTAAACCTTAAAATTTGGTTAATCCGTCAATTTTGCGCTTATAGATAAAGTCTTATAATTGGTTGGGGAATATCATGAATTTTTTGAGGGCAATCACTCTAGGCCTAACCTTTTAAATTATTTACTTTTTTATGAGCAGAAACTAATTCTAAGGCTTCAAATGAATAAAGATCAGAAGTATGGAAATATAAAAGTTAAAGAGCAGAAAAAGAACAAGGAAGCCACCTGTTCTTCAGTCTCGTTATTAGCTGAGGCATAATAGTATACACTTCTTGAAAGCAATCAATTTAAGTCAACTCTTTTGAATTAGAGGTTATGCAACAAAATTATCCCCACGGCGTGTAAATAAATAAAGCTCAGGTGTATGAAGTTATCAAAGGTTAGGGAGTAGATGACAAGACAGGAGAGGCGTACAGGAAATCCTTTTGAGGTTAGCACAGTTCGTATGGGACTACGTCCATCTGAATCCTTTTTATGGCCTTGATTTTATAGCAGTGACAAAGCTTTGCTTTTTCATGCTTTCAAATGATATATCTCCAAATTAAGGATCAATTTATCGTACTTAATGTATTTGCTTCTTTCTGGCTCAGTTGCGTTCTTCGAGACAATCGTCTTTTTTTCTTCACAAGATTTCTCACACAGTTGCGAAAAAGGTCGGAATGGTTTTACAGCCGTACTTTTTATGCGAAATTTCCAAGGAAAACAATTTTTTTTATAAATTTTAAGTGAGCTACAGAGAACTTGTAAACATTCTCCAAGATTCAGCTAAGCCATAAACATCCCACCTAAAGATAGCAAAGATATCATTGAAAGAAAGATGTTCTCATAAGCCAGCTTGGTAAATAATCTGATCGAATTTTTCGGAAGTGAAGATGAACTGCTATCGCGAATAAAAAAATGGTACTTGCATTGTAGGGAGTTGTGGTTACAGAGAAACTTTTGCTATTTCTGTCTTTCTAACGTTTTACTTTAAAATAATTTATTCAGAAAGAATCATCAAAAGAATGAAGATCTCTTTAGCCCTAACTTATGTCATTCTGATCACTCTGCTTTCTGTGCAACAAACGACCTCTTTCATTCGCCATGGAAGAGATGAAATAACAGAACGCTTTCGACTCGTCGAGAATCAATGGCCCGCTAAAGATCTTGACCAAGCTGTCCCACATCGTAAGTGCATCATCAAGTCTAATAGCTGTTATCTGTTCGATAATAATATTTGCTTTTTCAAGGTGAAAAACTAATAACATCTCTCCTTATGGTTTTAATTTGTTGAATTGGAGATAAAATTTTGAGACGGCAATGCTTTCTGGGCCGATTACAGCATTAGCTATGAAATAAGAAAAATCATATGCCAATCTCGGTGAGTTTTTCCAAATTTTCTGCGTATCCACAGTAATGGGATGTCTCTATTTTCAGTAACACTTTTCGTTAATAAAACGTCAAGGTTCCAGTTTGTAAATCGATAACCATACTAATATCCTCCACCTCAAGCAGGAAATACTAACAACGGCCGAGGCTGAATAGTGACTAATGGCTCTTTCATAAGATTACACCTCGTTAACAAGATTCAGATATCATGCATTTTATTTTTTCTCTTTTCTTCTTTATTGGCAGAATTGGGGAGAAACCCTCTGTGGAGGAGACGTTACTAACAATGAAACCGAAAACAACCGCTTTAAAATGTTTTATCAATGATGAAAATAAAATTTCTGCACTTAACAGACGCATTTTGAAATAAATATATCATCCAAGATGCAAGAACGCAATTGCTCCGAAAACAGTGATCGCACTGACTCTGACAACAAGCACACTGCAGGTGCCTAGGCTCAAATACTCCCTCTCTTTTGACCGTGGTAGTCACGTGACAGAGCTGAGGAGGGACAAGATAGTAGGTATTATAACATGCAATAGAGAACACAGCCAATCAAAATACAGTAAAAGCGTTTATCTGTCCGACGGTAGAACACCCGACCTTCCCATCGTGCACAACGATCATACTCCCACAGAAATTTAGCAAGCAGCGCCATCGCAGCTTCCTTAATAATTGTGCATTCTTAGTATTCTATATTTTGATTATTTTACTTCAACAATTTGAATAACGTTGTTTAGATCGTTGACAATGAAAACCTAATTCAAAGTCATTCCACAGAAGTCTGCGAGTATGTTGATCGATCGCGATGGCCTGAATTTTTCTTTGATAGGGCATAAAAAATTCGTGCAACACTTCTCGCCGTATACCATGAAATATCTCCCTTTTTATCTATTTTTCTTGGTATAAACGCTTATGTTAATGCTTGTATGAATACCAAGGGAAATACAAGGGATTTGTAGGCGGTTCTAAAGTAGTCTACGAAAAGGTTTTGCATAACTAGCAAATTGTATGAATCTTTGATATCGATATTAAATCTGAGGTAATTCTCCTTTTCAATCACATGCTACTTTTATTACCCAAGTGGACGGCCCGACAAGTTTCGTGTTCGTTTGTAGCCAAAATATCAAGCAATGCCAGATTTGATGTCGCGTCAGACCTAGGAAATTGAGTCAGACTGCCGCCTTCAACCTCTAAGGGGTGGCTTAATCATTCAACCTTTGATCTCCTTTGACAAGAAGTGACAGATAACGCTTTCAGAATTATGCAAGGATCAGTGCATTTCCAATTTAAACTTCTCTGTTGATGAATTTACAGAATAACATTTGCATACACAACACTTTTCCAAAGAATACGTGTCTGTTTGTTGAAGTTAATAATTTGCAAATTTGCAATATTTCATCAATTTGCACCCTTTATTTCTTCACAATGGTAAAAAGTCATGCTTGACTACTATGGTCATGAGAGCTTTTATGATAGAGACATTCAGCAAAGAGGCCGCTATCACTCTCATTTGCGATAAGAATTTCTAAGATAGGAAAAAGACAAAAACAGGCCAGGTGCTGTTTTGAATAAACATCGAAGTTATTTCAACAAAAATCAAATAAGTTTTTTTCATTTTTCAAAAAACCATCTTATAAATATTGAAAATAACTAAATAGTTTTTTGGAAATGAATTTTAATAGACCATTTCCGAGTTTCCTTTTATGAGAAAGGGATTTTACTCATACGCAAAGCCGTCCATTTTTATGCAAATCAGAGTCATTTAGTCGAGCGAAAAGATTTACACCCTCACTCGCTTCACATGAACCGTACCCACTTCAACGGCGACACTAAAATAGTGTTTATAGATCTATTCTTGAGCTCAAACTGGGTTTTAATATCTTTACAAATGGACGAAAATATGTTAAATCATTAAGTCCATCGCCAACGATCTTGAGCAGTCTGTTTGGAAGTTGACCTGTCTGCATTGTCGTGAATTAATGATAAAGAAGACAGGTCATATTGCTCTTGGTTTTGGATGCGATTTAGATAGTGTTTTTCCTGCTTGGAATTTTTCGCTCTGACACTCAGTCGCGGAAGTCGATCCTTGTAAGTATAGATCCTTACTGCTTGTCAAATTTGTTGTGTGTACGACATATTATCACCCCGAAAATGTGTAGAAAACGATCGGACTCGAGTTTAATCTTTAAAGGTACACGCAATAAGTAATAGTTAATAGGGGATGCAACTTAATTTTTTGTTGATATCCACGTTAAGAAAAATATCTTTAATATTCTTTATCCTTGCGCCGTCTGCCTTAATCAGACTTTAACAGTAAGGAAAGTTATGTGATAACTGAGACTACACCTAGGAAAAATTTAAAATATTTTAATTTGTGTCAACAGTCGGGTCGGCTAATGTCTCAAGAGCTTTTGAGGATGGATTTACGTAAATAAACCTGTCCTCCCTTAGGCTTGAAACAATTTGTGCGAGTTGGCCACAAAAATTAGGAAAAGACGCGTTGCATTAAAAAGATTGTTTTTGTTAGTTTTTATCAATACTTTGTTTATTTGTGTCTTGCTGTTGCTCTGTCTGTTCGTTTGTTTATTTTTTTATCTTGTTTGTCTTTTTTGCTCTATGCCAGAGTATTTAATTCCTTCATGTAAGTAAGACCTTGAAAGAAGCATTTTTTCGGTCTGATTAATATTAATAGATTGAAGTTGTTGTTTTTGGTTTTTCGAGCAGAAAGTAGAATGGCTGGCAGAAATTTCTTGAAAGGAGTAAAAGCCTACCAACATTTTACCAAATTGATGTTCAGGTTCACCTGTTTTAGTTTCACAGTGTCGAATACTAGTCGAAAAAATTATTCAAAATGTGTCGAAGCAACTTTTAGAGGCACTAATCATAAGTCTAAATATTCATCCATGTTTTCTCTAGACACTGCTCTAAGAGACTGAAGAAAAAGCCTTTTTTTCACCATTGGGAAAATGTCACGAAGAAGGGTTGCGATGATTTTAGAAATGAACTGTTACCCCCACGGAGCTCTTTAAAGTCCTTTGTTTTATGTTAATTTAGATAATTTTTGAGACCTGTTATGGAACAAAAACTACCATTAAGAGAACAATGGATTCCGTAATCTTGCGATGAAAAATTTTCCCGCTTCATTTAGAACTTCCGTCACAAAAAGCATTTTCTTAGAGCTGAAAATTAAATTTCTATGTAATTGCAATTCAGCTCGTGAAATAGTGCACTCAAGGAACATTTCCAACATTAACTCTTTAAAACCGTGAAATATAGATTAGATGCACCTATTCACTTGCCAAAAAGCAAATAAAACCATTCTAGTGGTATGTTTCGGTCAGCTTGTGAGCTTTTATTAGTTTTTTCATCCTAATTTCTTGAGCTCAAGGGAGGCGATAACCCTGAGAATAGAGAAACAGCAACACAGATGTTACTAAAAGCGAAAAACAAACAACGCAGAACACAGAATATTACTTGGAGGCTTTGTGTTGACTGAGCAGGCTATTAGCTGTCTTTGGCACTGTTTTTATAAATAATAGCCTCGGTGTACGCTGGTGATATTTTCTGTTGGAGTTTTCCTTCCTCTCATTACTGGTGAGTACACAGCAACACTACCCTACACAATCCTCATTTTAAGGAAAATTTCTAGAAGCATATTGGAATTTTTGTCGCTAATGATTCTGAAAATAATGCTGAAAATGGCGAAGAAATTCCCATCTTTCTTTTCGTTACTAAATCAGCACTCATCAAAATGGAAAGCTCTTGAAGAACGTCATTCTATCTCGCACAGACTTTTGATCATTTAAAAGATTGAAAATTTTTTTTTACAGTGAGCAATCTTACAGCCTATAGGCTGTTAACATATTTTTCAATGAAAACTCGATGATATGAAAACAACAGTTTCTAAAAGAGGGCTGAAAAAAAATAGAACTTAGTTTTTGTAGGTGTGACTGAACATATTTACACAAAGGTGTTTCTGGAAGTTGAAATTTCTGACATTATGAATCACTTTGCTGGAAACGAATGGTCAAAGAAAAAAGAAATTTTGAGTTTAAAAGCAGAATTTCAAGGTGTTTTTTTCTTTCACAATCGGACGTATTGGCGAAAAAATTATAAATAGCAATTACTGTTGAAGTCAACACACGGCTGTTATTGACGAACGAGGAGGTTAAATTGGAGATTTTTTATCATTGTGACAGTTCAAATGAATTTTATATTCACTTTTGACAAGTTAACATTTAATTAAATTTATCACACTGGAAACATAATTGTAGTATTGTCCTGAAGGATTGCCTTGGGTTACCAAGATGTAAACGAAACAATTTTAAAAAGTTTTGTTGCCTAATTCACTCACTGTGGTGAGATTCGGTTCATTTGAAACGTTTAGATTGGTCTTGGTTCACCTCTTTATCGTCCTTAATGATAAATGATTTTCTTAACACTTTTTGTAGAACAAACATAGCTCCCAAAACCTTTCAAGCTTGTTTATTTTTCTGCTTTCTTAACATATCCGGCCATGCAAGTAAATTTAGAGACTTCGCTAACGGCTCTGAAAAAATGAAAGAAAAAATATAAAATGGCGGACCAAAGTAGATTGATCTCGAGTCTCAGTTAGATTTGTGATGTCATCTAGCCTTGATATTGGGATCATTGTCTCTAAAATTGCAGCATATGTGTGAAAATAAGTTTGGATGCATATGATTATGAGATCCTCCAAAGCTGTTGCGGATAAAATTATTCATTTGAGTGTGTTTTTGAGTTTCTTTTGTACTATCCATTCAGAATCTGATGCACACCTGCACGATGATGTCACAAATGTTGGGTTTAGCTGTTGGACTTCTCTTTTTCCAGAGAAAGGTATTCAGTTGCAATGAAAATTGCTCCTGCAACAACTCCATGGTGTATTGTACAAATGTAACCTTGGCGACAGTTCCATCGAATCCTTTGTATGATGTCAATGATGAGCAGCCTGAAACTGATAATGTATTGACAAGTAAAAACGTTTCTTCTCCAAAAATTAGTATTGCTTCGTCGTCATCTCCATCTCTCTTCGAGGAAAGCATTATTCTACAAAGTTTCATCTTCATTCTCAGTATCTCAGCTGTCCTGGTTAACACTTTAACTATGACGGTGATTTTTTCTAAATACCAGCTTAGGTCTCTCAGTACTATGTACTTAGCTGGACATGTCGCAGTCTGTGATCTCTTGATTGCACTTTATTTATTGGTTGCTGTTATTCATACTGCCGTCCTCTCCATTGTAGATGAGGAAACAGAGCAATACTATGATATTTGGTGGAGATTTATCTGCCCGCTGATAATTTCAATTCGTTCCATCGGGCAACTCGTGGAGCCAGTTGTTTTGTTCTTCTTGACGTTAGATCGCTACAGACGCATAGTAAACCTTTCAAAGCCTCCTCTGCGCCACAGATCTTTCTCCATAGCAACTAAATTGCTATGGTTTTCTGCAGTTGTTGTTGTTTTTGCAAGTTTATCCACGCTGATTGGAAAACAAAGCTTCTCTGGAGCTTTATGCTCACGAGTCGACACATCGGGGAAATCTATTGACTCTTACGTAGAGAGAGCACTAATTGCAAGTAGCTCTATATTGTTCATTACGTGCTGTGGCATGTACCTGCGGATATACAGAGTGGTAAAAAACCAGAATCAGCGGATGAGAACACAAGCTTATTTACGAGTGTCTAAAGTAATATTTGTCCTCATGTTGAGCACTCTTGTGTTATGGTTCGTTCCCGCCATGGTAGTGGCTTCAATCGGACGTCAGGACTCCATGAGAGAAATTAGACAGCTGATAATCTTGTCTTCATTCACAATAAACTCGCTGGTTAATCCTTTGATTTATGTGTTTAGAGAAAAGAAATTCCAACGAGTTGCCTTCTCCTGGTTAAATCGCACATCTTCAAAAAGAAGAGGAATACTTGGCGTCAATAAGGTAACCTCCTTAAGAAATGCTGCTGTGATAAATGAAAATGATGTAACAAACTTTGGAAATAGCAAAATGACAGAGCAAGTTTTCACCACTTCACTCTAAAAATAAAACCAAAATGATAAATAACGAGCATTTTCTAATACTTATCCAAAGGAGTAAAAGACAAAATTTACAAAAAGGCTCCGTGCAGATTGAGAACTATCTCAGGTTGACTTGCAAACCTATTGAACTCTATTCATTAAATTAGATTAACTTGTAATCATAAATGTGTACAATTTATACTTTACAATAAACTTGAGTGTCCCTTTGTCAAAGGTTTGAGAAAAAATAACAGTGTAATTTGTTTACGCAGCACGTTATGGGTTTTCAACCTTGGAATTACAACGAAGGGATTGCAACTTACTAAAGTCTTTCTTACGGCTTTCGCCGAGAGAATTCTAGACACTCATAATAGCAGCTGACGATTTATAGTACGGTTGTCTCCGATGAAACGGGTCGATAGGTTCTGAATTTATTGATCCAGCATTACTCAAAGGCATTGAGTAATACATAAAGCTAGAATTTTTTATTAGAATGGTTCATTGATATGCAGTAAAGAAAGTAAGTTACATTAAAGACACTGAATCGACTTTTTCATTCAAGGTTGTAACCTTACTCATTCAGCAGAGAATGAGACAAACAAGGAATAAACCACATTTCAGTGGTGACAAAGTATTGTGTCTTGAAAATAAATTCCCATTTTAAATGAGTTAAAGACGCCCCCAGCTAAGTACTAAATCTGCCGTATCTTTATTATTATGCGGGCTATAAATTGGCGCTAAAATAATTTTAGATATAGAAATCAAACGAAAATCGATGGGGGTCCAGCCATCATCCTTCCATTTGCACAAGGCCAGGTTGTCACGTTGCGTGTACGCCTTGGGGTTAATTAAAACAAATTCCTTCTTTTCGACAAAACTAAAGTGGGTAGCTAGACATCTAATTAACTTAAATTTTATTAAGTCAAATAGTAAATTCCACAGTGTATGTGTAAAAAATTGAATGCTAATAGTATTTTTGAACGTTCTTTGGAACAGAGTCGAATTAAGTTTATCTATGAGTTGATTAAAGCCATTTTATGCAAAAGGTTTTTGCGCGTTTTGAGCAATTTCTGTTTAAAATAAAAGAATATTGTTCAATATCAAAATTTTCCATTAGGTCTTGGGCTAAGAAGGTTTCTGCGCTACTGAGGAAGAAACAGATAATGTAAGTTTTTATTGGCGGCATGATAGCAAAAAGTCTTGAAAATTACAGACTAGAGATAAGGGACAATCCAGAGACAATAGCAAAGTGTGAAAGTTTGTGTTCGATGTTCATATCAGTAGGTGAAAGTCTCCACAATATCGGCAGTCAATCTAACTTGTTCAGATTGTTTCTGAGAAGACCATTATCACTGAGTGGTGAAACAAGCGTTGATTCAAAAAGAAATTTAATTAGTTCATCAATGGTTTTGAGTAAAAATCCTTTTAGGCGGAAGAAAAAAATAGATCTTAATTGTTTGATCAGCTGAGATGGTTAGGCAGCCGCAGGTAATTAGATTGTCGGCTTCTTTCGGCACAAGATGAGAGGATTTCAAATTGTTTTTCAAGTTTGGTGATCGAGTAAGATCAGTATTCAACTGTCAGTGATAACGAGAAAGAAGATTTACACGTTTAACCTGACGGTAGGTTTTGAATTGTATCACTCAAGTTTATACAGTTTCAATTCTTGGTTTTCAAATTTTAATTCATTGCCCTGGCTCAAAAGAATGAGTCTGTGCGGTAAGATATCATAAAAACACCTACTCTCACGAAAATATCAAAACTTTTTTGAAACCAAAGTTTTATTCTTGTTATGGAGAGCAATAAATTTTAAAAAATTACTAGGAAATCTGTTTTATCGTTCAAATTTATTCTGCTCGTTTTGTTTGACTTTTCAATAAGAGATATTGCACCAAAATAAGATTATACCTATGAAAATTATTGATATCTATGACACGTAAACTGCTACTACTACCGTACGGATATAGCTATTACTGGAGGTAGTTTTTAATTGTAGAAACTTATTTTTTCACATCGTCTTAAATAAATCTACCGAAAGCGCAAATTTTCGTTTAACTATTGGAAATATGAAATCTGTAGTATGAAAAATCATCGAAATACATATAAAGTGTTCTCACACGGTGATTTAAGACGTTTGACATGGTTGAGGGGGCTATTTTAAGTCGTGACATAGTTACGAAGTGCAATACATCTTTTACCGTCTCCTCGAGAAACTTGTGACAATGCACATACGGTAAATAGAAATTATACAGCAACAACCATATGATGTCATACTTAGCCGTTCAAAATGGCGGCTGTTAGAGAATTTCAATCAAAATTGTTGAGAGTAATTCCCAATTCTTTGGTTTACTTTCGTGCTTGCATCAATCTTTATCTAGCAGATGTTCAGTTCACATAAGTAATTGGTGGCAAATTGTTTAAATTGTTTTGCAAATTGGAAAAGACATTTCAGAAAAATTGTGATTCTTTCCTTGCTTGTGACATCATCGATGCCACCATCAGGTAAAGAATATTCTCAAGGATCTTTCGTCAATACTTCATTTATGAACCGGGGATTGTATCTTTCCTCTAAACTTTTTTAACGAATGTTGACCGATATATATGCGTCATTTTCGGCATCAAGGGAGGGTCTTGTAAAGTTAGAAATTTGGAAAAGCCGGCGAGGTTTCATAATGTGGGTGAATAAAATCATTATCGTACGTGACCTTTTTATTTTATGATAATCTGCTGACCACCAAGGCTACTGTGCACATCTTGAGCATGCGTTATACATAACAGATTGTTTTGTTTCAGAATTTGTTGGGCCATGAAGATGTGAGGTTAACAGTGGCGTGGCAGAAAAAAAATTAATAATCACATTTTGGAACAAACTTATTTAAATTAGTTTGAACGGACTATCGGTCTTACAAGGAGAAATTCATTGATAATTTTGGACTCTTTCAGTATGGCGAAGACTTGATTTAGTGAGCATAAATCGAGGCGAAAGCATGTGTCTCGACAAAACAAAGACCAGCAAAGAAATATCAAGGTAAATGGTGCTGAGAGACCAAGAGAACGCTCATAGCCAATCGTAATCGGTCTTCATTTTGCATCTGGCTGATTGAAAAGGTGGTTTGACGTATTTAATAATTAAAGTGACCAAAACAACCACAAACTGCTTTATCACTTTTTTGGTAGTTATGTTAAACGGGCGTTTTGTGTGAGTTTGACTTACATTTAGCAAACAGCTCGTATTCCCCGTTTGTAACTTGACTATTTTACTTTTAGTGATTTTTTTCGGGTTTACTCGATTACCTGCAGAATTGTTGCCACGAAAATCTGTTCTAAAGTTTGAAAAACCAGAGCTATTTAAGAAAGAAAATTATTAAATCCGTTTTGACTAGCACCCACAAAACACAACAACAATCGCTGTTGGTTAATCGTTCAAATAATGAGGTGGCGTGTAATATTTTGACTTGCAAATGAACTAATGGTACTGTAAATTCATTGATTGGTTTCATTCTCATTGGCTTTGCCATAGAAACTAATATCTTTCTCGGTTTTTCAGAGAGAAACTAAACACGCATCAAAAATGTCAATTTAAAAGTCAATGCCATAGAACACAAGGATTATCCTGCCCAACAGAAGTTGCTGGTCGTTTCGGCGTTTCCGAATTAAATGAGGTTCATACGTTAACAATAAGTTAATAAAAACACCACCCATCATACCTTGGCAAACCCACGCAACTCAGTGTAAATTATTTACATAATTTATCCAAAGCTTGTGTATATTTGTGTTTAAAGACAGAGATGTATTCAGGTGCCTATTGGTATTAGAGATGAATAAGCGCAGGGAAATACAATCATTTTTGTACAAGGTAAGATAAAGATTTGTTGTCAAAACTGAATACTCATGTGTATAACAAAATTTTGTTTACAAATCAGTTTCTCTTTAAGTTGTAGCTCCGCTGTGTGTGAAACATCTTGCAGATGTTTCTGAAGATGTAATTCCATTTATGACCACCATGCATGCTTTTTTTATAATATCTGAAGCCAGGAAATCAAATCCCTAGACAAAAATTTGTTCGCAATATGAAATTCACTGAATTTGTCTTCACAGGTATATCGTGAAAATTAGTCAAAATTTCGCGAAGGAGAATCCGGTGGGAACACTTCGCTGGTAATCAGAATCTTTGATATTGAGACAAGTAGATTACAACTTTGAAAAATATCCAACTTTTATTGAGAATGCTAAATTGGTAAAATAAATTTTACCAATTTAAATACAAATATAATGTATCTCTCCTCCGGCGAAATCGTATAATACTAAGTCACGCACCATTGTGTTTACGATTCTGAAGAAAAGTTTCTGACCAGCAGATATCTCCTCGCTGAACGACAAAATCTCTCACGCATTCTTACTTCCTGCTTATATAAAAGTTCGTTTATGACAAAAACTGATAACGTTCCTTCCTGTTCTTCTTTGAAGACACCGTTTTGGATGATAAGTTCTGAGGTAAACATACACACGGCAGGCATGAACATCGGCCGTCCGAGAAAGGAAGATCTTTTTTTTCTAGACTGAAATGTTCCGACCTGAAAGATACAAAACTAATGAGATAAAACTGTAGAGAGCTTGGGGATTTTTTTCCGTTATAACTTTTTAAATGTATTTCTTTTGTTATCCAGATATCAATTCATTTTGTAAATTAGCAAAATTATATCTAGGATACCAAAATTATTTACAACAATTGTTTCCATGCTTTCACGTCGCTGTTCGACCGCAAATAAAGCACTGTTGGTTAAATAGATAGCCAATTAGTAGAACTCGCCTTTCAAGTGTTGCGGCATACAGCGAACTCAATATCGGAGGTAGCATCTGTGCTAAAAGTGGTAAACCGTGTCAGAATATTGAAATATTGAAATAAATAACAAAAAAAACTTCACACTTAAGTCCCTGATAAGGGTAACGACAACTCCTCTTGCTCAAGCACAAATCTCGGCAGTAAATGTAAGTCAGTTGTATGAATTATTATTTGCAAAACTTTAGGAAGGAGAAGCGTCTATCCAAAACGTCAGCTTTCTAAGTGCTTCTGTGCTTCAGTCGAGTTTGGCACGTTTCTGAAGTATATATGGGATGGGCGATGTATACCTAACTAATTTGCTCGAAATCATCTCATATCGTATGCACGGACGTGGGATGCCCAAAGAATTTATCATGCTATAGTGGAAAATAGACTTTTAAGTAGCTAGGATGAGAAAAAATAATGGCTTTATTTTTCTTCTAAACTTCTTTTTTTAATAAATCTGATAACCAGTGAAACGAAAATACTCGGTGTATCTGCTGACAAGTCTTATTATATTCTACATTTTGAACTGGAATACAACTAATTAGTGTCTAAAATATTCTTGCAGAACGTTAATTAATTCTGAATTGTTACCTTTTGTTTTGATTATTTCAAAGCTTTGCTAGCAGGGGCAATGACAACTTTTTACAGTGGTTTCTTTGGGATCTGACCAGTTGGTTTTATTTTTTTTTTCATACCATGCGTGAGAAATGATGTTTAAAAGAGAAAAATAAAGAAAGAAGAATACTTTTAAATTTCTTTAAGTCGCGTGAGAAAATAAACAAAGTTTTTGATTAGAACTGACTCGTTTCTTTCCTCCAGTCAATATTATTGTTGAGCTTAGGAACCTTTCATATGAATTTCTGATTTGCATAAAAATTGGGGCCTTCTTAAAATTTATCAAGTAATTTTGGAATTTATAAGGTCAATGGTGACTTATGGAAGAGATAATCAAAACTGCACTAAAGCTTCCGTCCTTTCGTTCAGACTATCTTTCACGAGGTAGCTTCATGGTCAAGATGACAGATAATGAGAGATTTGGAAATCTACATCAACAAAAGTTCAGCTCCTGATTTATTGCGAATGACTTTGAGATGGCAGGTCTTCAGCTCGGTGTTGACTTCTTGTCTGTTATGTCCACTTCTCAGATTTATAGGGCAAGGTAAATTGTCCATGTGAGATGCTGGCCAAGCCAATCAAAGATTAAATTTGCAAAAATTGACGACGCAGAGATGGCCTCTTAAGGAGTGAAATATGGCTGAGGAAAATGCGATTGTAGATTAAATGTGGTGATCCATTTGACGACAAAAAAATGTTATGACATAACCAGCATCAAAGTCAAGGAACAAAAAGAAATCCATGGCCAAGTGGATCATACTAATTTATTTATAAGAACAACCATTTCGCTGTCTTTCTTCAAATACTATTCTTACTTCTCTGATGAAACGTTGTGGGTATTACCTTCCCGGGAAAGAAAATTATACCACGTTTTGTATGCTAGTGGTTTTGCGAATAAAATTTGCATTGCAGATATCAGATAATAAATAAAAGTAAATCAAACCCCATATGGTCAAAAATCCAAAGAAAAAATCTCATTGACATCTTTGTAGAACCAGTTTGAGACTTTGACATTTTATGAGAAGGCTTGTTTTTGTGGGCCTAATGTTATCGATTTTTGGCAATATTTATATTGTATAGGTCTTGACGATGTAGCCGGGAGATTCCCACCTGCGAAAAGTTGCCAATTAATAACAGCAATCCTAAACAACAACACCGCCACCGCATCTGAAAATATTATCTACATCTTAACCGTATCTGCCAAGACAAAAAGAATTATGATAAATTATTTACCAGACAATTAGCGTCAAGCAAAACAAGACTAAAAGCCTCACGCCCCTAAGGAATTCGGGGCGTGAGTTTTTGTATCTTTGCGGATTCAAGGATTGACAGTTTTTTAGGAAGCAAAACTTCATGCACCAGATGTTTTCTGTAGATATGTCATAACTTAAATTATTATGTAAATTTACAGACAAAACTCCTTTATTAAGCAAGTCGTTACAGCTTTTTCATTACCTGTACTGTAAGCATTCTTATGCCACCATAATGTTTCCGATGATAAAAGCTTTACCGCTGGATTAACTTTCCAATCAAAAAATTAAAAAACTTCTGCCCCAGCTCAAAATGGATTAGATTTCATTCGCAGTGAGAACTCCTCCAGTGCTTTCAAATTGCATTGCAGCGGAAGACACAACGTTGCTTAGTAACCACACCTAAAATAGCCTTTGGCTTAATAGAAGCTTTGTCGACAAAATTAAATCCCCTATTGAATTACTGAAAAAGGAAATTCAAAGAAAACAGCCAACAGGATATGTACCGCATTACTCTATCACAATACTAATTCAATCGAAAAAGATCACGCTATTTCACTCCAGAATATTTACGAGATATACACGACTATTAAGCCAATTTTACTTCGATATTCGTGTTTTAGAAGGTTCAAGGTTGCTTATACGATTCGCTATTTCTTAAAAATTGACAACCGTTAAATTATTGAATATTGCAGTTATTGGTCAATTTTCCGCGAAGATGTCGGCGGGAAATGATTTATAATATCGCATGCAAAGTCTCGCTGGTCACTTTGTACTGTAGACTGTTTAAGCTTGAATGGGCAAACCTAACGAGTTACTTCAGCGCCCGAATATGTAAAGCCATCACAAGAAATCGAAGGATAGGCAAGTCAGCAGGTTGTAAAGTAATTTTTCCTTTTAGGAACAGAACTTTCATGATTGGAAATTTTTATTTTTTATTGTAGATGACACTGATATTTCCAAATTTTCATCCTGATTTGGTCATATCCTAGTCATATTTTGTTTTGTGTTGAAAAAAAAGTTATAATTCTTATTGTGATACACAAAAAAATGCTTTAATGTAGGATTTTTTCGGTTGTTTTCACAAATTTTCGGTAGTGGCTTCATCGCGAGATATCATATTTTCTCAAAATAAAAGGAGTCTCCCTAAACGATAGATGTAACCTTATGTCCTTGAGCAAATTGGATCCAAAATACATTATTGTCATTCTATGCTTTTGTCAATAATTACGCCGGAAAACTGAGGCGTTAGACTAAAAAGGTTTTTATTTATACACAGATCAACTTTGTAGTACTCTGCACTGCTCACCAGCTTGTTAACAACCTACAGTTTAAATAACACAATAGCTTTCACGTATTTTATCATAATATAAAATGTACAAGAAAAAAACCTTTATTTCTATTAGCACACAAAATGTAACAACCCATTGGGTTGATATGGTTTCACCCACTTTAAAAGAAAATTTATAATTTTAAAAGCAAGGTTAAATTCATGCATATAATATCGTTTGCTCAGTCATAATGTCAATAGAAGAATGCCTGTTAACCAATAAAAAGTAAGAATTTCTCTCTAGTAAATAAAACCATCTGGTAAAGTTTTCTCCGCATAAATATCAAACACAATTATTGCAATTTTACATTTTAAGTTTCCTTTTCAAGTGGAAATGACTCTATCTTGTAGTTTCTTCCCGGCAACAATGACTGCAAGTTGATGTTAAATAAACCACAGACGCGTTGAGTTGTGTACTAAATCCACCTCGTGTTTCAGGTGAGAAGTCTTTTGGGACCACATGAAAACTAGACAGAGATTTGAAATAATACCTCGCGTGGTCGACACATCTCAGCGAAGGATCATTTTAAACGTTGGTGGACGAAAACATGAGACTTATCTGAGTACGGTCAAAAATTATCCAGATACCCGACTGTACTGGGTCGTGGAAAATGTTACGAAAGCTATCGATTATGACTCGGAAAGAATCGAGCTGTTCTTTGATCGACATCCAGGCATATTTGAGCAAGTTTTGAACTACTATCGTACGGGTAAACTGCATTGTCCGCACGATGTTTGTGGTCCTCTGTTCGAGGAAGAACTCGCATATTGGGGCATCGACGAAAAAGAAATGGAACACTGTTGCTGGACTTCGTACACTCAGCACAGAGAAGCAGAGCATAACTTAAAAAGTTTTAATGTCCCTGATGGTGAGCAAGATCAGGATACAGATTTGGAAAGCGACAGAATGGAGGATTCAACTCCTGCAAGGGACTGTGGCCGCCCTTTCACTTGGTGGACGAAATATCAACCTAAGATTTGGCCAATTTTGGAAGAGCCCCATTCTTCTAAAGCTGCTAAGGTTAGTTGCACCTCCTTGCATTTTACGATAAATATAGCTTTTACCGCACATTGTCTGCAACAACGTTGGTTAGACACTGTTTATTTAGGGGCACTCTATTATAACACTAATAATTATTTCGACTTCCCATCCGTTACAGATAAATTCCTAGGGAAATATTTTAGAGAACGACTTTAAGAACATTTTACGTCTTTAACGCAAGTGGAATTCTTCGATGTGTCCGAATCTTACGTGATGTTGCATGGATCGCTAAGACGCTGAGTACTAGGTTATATATATCTTGTCACGACAGCTGTTCATAAAATTAGATTCGGAGCCTTTTCCACTGTCGTCTGAATCAACTTTAAGCAACTTGTTTAGCTTCAGCTTTGCGATTCTCCATTCCAAAATATGGGTCAAAATTGGCACTAAAATTGAGACAAAAATTGGCACAAAAAATTGGCACCAAACATTCGGTTGTTGAAAATGACAAAGGATATACTCTGATATCTCTAGCTTATAACCACATTTTGAGATGCAAATTAACAATCAAACTGCTTAATGAAAGTCTAGCACATTTTTCAATCGAAGCGTTGAAATTTCTCTCGTGAGCAAACTGCGTATCATAAAAAGGTTTTATATCGGGAAGGAGACTTCTTAATATCATGGTTGTCACAAGTATTACTTGATTCTTTTTGCAAGCAAAGAAAGTTGCTCCATGGGAAAATTAATATGACAATACACAGATGTCAAGTATTAAAACAGACACATCTATGACAGGATGTGGGCTTCATTTCGCATTAGAAGCCACAAAATGAAATTTTTGACGTGTAGAGAGCATTTTTAATCTTTAAAGTCTGTTTGCACGGCTTCTTAAATGAAAGTTAAGATAAATTATTTATATTTATTCAGCATTTTGACGGTTTCGACTATCGGTGTGCAAAAAACTAAAATGCATCAAGCTTAGCGGCGTTATTTACGAACCAACCAGTGCGATTAAAAAAAAAAATTCTGAAAACAATTAAGTTTAGTTTTCGGCCCAAGGGCAAAGTTTCTTTCATTTTTCTTAACACGAAACCATAATAATTAATTCGGTGGGGTAATTAAAAGGTGAATCCATGGTGGCTACGAAAGAACAAAACACGCATGTGAATGAGATCGAATGACTCCATTCTTTATTACAAATTCGTCTTCACTGTTGAATATAAACGATAACAACCGTCGTTACGACGGCAAACATTCGTTTACTTCCTTTACACTATCACCTCGCCATTGCACTTACTAACTCGTAAACGAATTTCGAATTTAATTCTGATACCATTGCTGATATATTTTGCAAAGCAGAACATTGCTAACCTATCGTGTTTCAAACATTTTTAATGTATATGGATCTTTGTCAGAAATTCAGAATGTTCCTAGAAAGTAATTGCTGCACAAAAATAGCAATAACTAAATCTAAATTAAACTGACTTGTAATTTTCGCGATCCTGAAATGAATTTACTTTTTATCTTTTGTATTACAATAATTAGAAACTAGCAGTCATTAGATCATCGACGGGGGGTTTGCCTTTGGTTTTAAGCAGATCATGGTTATTAAAAATTGTTTTTTTTGGTCAGAGCGGATGAAATAAGCTCTCTCTTTGCCGATAAGGGTGATAATCCTGGGCTTGATTTGAAATTTCTAGTTTCCAAATCGTCAGCTGAGTGCAATCTATTTTACTCCCTGAGCTTATCTGCGCATTAAATCTCTCCCAATTTTCAATTTGCTTGACCGAATGTCAAGAAGAACTGAGATACTGAAGAATTAAATTGTGCATGCAAGGCACCATGCCAGCTCTAAACGTGTGCTCGCAATCAACTTATGATGTATGTTTTAATCCTTTTTTCAGATACTTTCAATCATCTCCATAACGCTGATCCTATTGTCCGTGGGCACATCTTGTGCTCTAACTCTACCCCAGTTCTCTAAGCATTCAAGATCAGTCCAAGGTCCCGCAGCTCCTGCAAGGGATTCCACCACAGTAACCATCTTCACTATAATTGAATTCTTCTGCGGTATTTGGTTCACTTTAGAACTAGTGTTACGGATTATCTTTTGCCCAAGACGACGCGTCTTTTTCCGAATGGTTACAAACTGGATCGATATCTTGTCGGTGATGCCGTTCTATATTCGTATTCTCGCTCCTGATGGTGTATCGCAGATTGCCGATGCACTCCTTATGATTCGACTTCTCCGACTTTTCCGCTTTTTTCGATTGCTCTACGGTCTTCAAATACTGTTGCACACGTTAAAAGCAAGCTCGTACGAGCTGGGACTTCTCTTACTGATTTTGTTCATACCAGTGATTTTATTCTCATCAATCATCTATTACGTAGAGCGTACCATGGATGACATCCCCACGAAATTTCGTTCAATCCCAGAATCCTTTTGGTGGTCACTTATAACAATGACCACTGTCGGCTATGGCGACATAACACCAAATACGTGGCTGGGAAAAATTATCGGAGGAGCATGCGCAGTTTGTGGCCTTCTTGTGGTCGCTCTTCCAATATCCATAATTGGAAGCAATTTTAATCTTTATTATGCGCACGCTCAAGCAAGGCTTAAACTTCCGAGACGAAAAAATAAAGTTTTGTTAAATTCCATAACTTCGGACTTTTCGAATCGCGGAAATTTGTCTGGTGTCAGGCGTAGAGGATTACGTATTCGTAGTAACGTCAGCCGTGAACCTGAAGAGGATGATTGCCTAATGTCTGACATGTTGGCCAGTCATTCATCTCGGCAAAATAGCCTTGCAAAGCAAAGTCCCGGTGAGGTAAAGCGAAACTCGACAACCTGGAGTATTCCGTCCAGCAAATCGGATAACGAGGGAAAAACCTCTCCAACGTCAACAAGGCCGACCAGAGAACGTCGAATCAGCCGGAATGAGAGAGTGGTTCCAAGACTTGGAGATCTACCCGAAAAGGATGAAACAGAGGAAAATGACGGTCAAGATGATAACCATCAGGTTTCAAAGCAAGATTCCATTATGAACAACAATGTCAGGAACAGTTTAGGTGTGCCAGGTGTTTCTCATGTCATACCCAAAGATCGCCTGCCACTTTGGATAGCAGAAAATGGAAAAAATCAACGTGTACGATCCTTCAGCGTTCCGTCGAACTCAAACATGTCTTTTCCTGAGGCGCCTCCACGCAAAACACAGTCTCAAAACTCTCACGTTTGTAAACGATGCTCTCTACCGAAAGACACCCAAAGCATCTGTGGAGAAGACAACAGAAAATGCTCATCTGGAGAAGTTTGCTGTTGCGCAGAAAAAGATGAGATACCTCGAGGATCGCGAAATAACTCAACGTACACGATATTCATTCCAGGTGCTGACGAAGGTGTACAAGTGAGTACAGAAAGCTTACCATCCTGGAGCAGAGAACTTCCTTTCGAAGGAATCTCACCCATTCAACTTGATGTTGTACCTTGTTGGAAAAGAAGGAGATTTTCAGACGAAGACAGCGAACCAGATAATCTAAATGAAGCTGATGAGCGAGAAACTCTTGTAAGTGAGTTAAGTGACAGCAGAACTGTTTTGGATGGTAAAAGGAAAGAACCCAATAAACAGCCTACCATGTTATATATAGATATGCCAGGGAGACATGGCAATATTACTGAAAATGAAACTTCAATTTAATTGAATGAGGAAGTGTCGTAGAAAAAGGAAGCAGATAGAAAAAAAAGCTACTGACAGGCAGCTTGGACAGAGCTTCTTGAGGCCTATGGCCAAATGTGCATCTCAATACCCTAAGGGGAAGGGAAGGCGGCATTACCTTATATGGCTTCGTGGGAATATACCGGTAAACAAGATATGGTAGTCGTGGTTTTGAGCCTGTAAATGGATTTTGAGTTTTACGATTTATCGTCGTAACAGTGTTTTCTGAACTAGAAGTCTTTCCAACTTTGTACCCCCAGGCAAAGACTTTCTTTCCTCTTGCAGATGAAATACATTAAGAATTTGTAAAGTGGTATTTAACTTTAATTTAACTTTTACTATGTAAATAAGAAAACTACTGATTTGTTGAAAAACTATTCTAGTTTCCCAACCATTTTTGCTTAAGAATTTTACTGAATGAGTGAGTTATCATTGATAAGAAATATTTAGAATTAGATAGATGCAATATCGAAAATATTCATAGCTGAAATATAGAACAATTTGAGAGTCTAAAAGGCTATTTTGAGGACGTCTTATTCATAGAGAAGCAAAAATGTTACCTATAAAAGTTGGTCTCACGAAATACCTACTCATATTTATAAACAAAAAGCAAACAAAAGAAAATTTCGAATAATAGTTGTTCGTAATTCGATCAGATTTAGTTCAGTCTAATCACCCAATAGAACTTATATATACTTAGAACGAAGTTGAATTATTCATCACTTTTTATATTTATCTTATTTGATTTACATATGTGAGATTTTGCGAACCTTTTTATAGTTAACAGTAAACTTAACACTAAACTTATGATTTAATCTAGGTACTGACATTACATCAGGTACATTCCAGTCAGCTTATAAAAAAATCTAAGCAATATTTAACAGTATTTAATAGATATTAATTCGTTCTCGTATGTCATCCACGTAATATACGGCAAAAATATCTATTTGGTGTAATTTTTTTGTAAATAATAACAATATTTGAATATCTTGATGGTAACTACTACTTTACCTCATTCATCGCGGAAAATATAGAGAAAAATTGTTGACGAAAAAACGTTAGACTCCTCAAACGTTTTTAGCACGAAAACCGCTTCAGTAGGCAAACATAAATTCGTTACAATGAAGAGTTTTAGGTGGACAAACTGTGAGGTCGCCAGCACCTTAACGAAGTCAGTTTCCTACTTTTTTTTCCTTTTGGTTTTTGTTTTATTTTTTATTTTTTTATTGGTTTTTTTTAATTGGTTTTGTTGTTTGAAGCCGTATTTCTTAGAAAGGACCAGCAAGGCCGACAAGATACCGAGTCTCTTTCAGAAAGAAAAAATTAGGCCCGACCTAAACACTTTATCACTTAAGATGGAAAGAGACCTTCAATATGTCAGTCTTTTAAAATAAAAAGGAAAAAACCAATAAAAACAGTTGTTCAATCATTACTCAGTTCATTGTTTACTTAACATTCGTATAGGTCCCTTTGGCCTCTTTTGATTGACACTGAGCTCTTAGCATGGCAAAAAGTTAATACCAACATGATAATATAAAAATACGCTTAGACCCATTGTAAGGTAGAGAATCTTCCAGTGCACATTATATAATAAGCTCAGTTATGCACGCGTTTTGATTGGTTCTCACTTATGATCTATTGGGTGACAGACGTATAGATGACGTCATCATTAAAACTTCTTTTACATCAGTGACACACTTGGCTGCGCCTCGTGTGCCACTTTTTTGTTCTTATCACATTTGACGTCATCTGTGATCTATTACTGAACAGAAGCATGGCAACTTGGAATCTATTTGTTAAATATACAGCCAAAGTTTGACCTTTTGAATTGTGTTCGTAAAAGTTTACCCAAACACTGCGTGCTTTTGCTCAACTTTGGCATGAAATTTTCAACCACTTGTAATGTAACCACTTGGATAAAGAATTTCATAAGTTTTATTGTTTGTGTACACAAGCTTAACACTCTTTTTTATTAGAATTCTTACAGCAAATTGACCCAAACTCTTGATTTCCCTGTATATATTGTTTCTGCGCGAAGATCAACGTGTGTTTTTTCTTTTTTGATGTAAATGTTTTGAGGTCTTAAATTTTAATATGTTGGAAATTTGGGAACTTTTTGTTAAGGCCTATTTACACGGTACGACTTTGTCGCATGCGACAAGCTTACGACAGGCCTACGACATGACTTAGGACAATTTACACGCGCACGACATTTTCACCTACGACATGCCAAAATCGCGTGCAATTCCACTCGTTTCGGCCGCGGTCATTATTTCAATAATTTGCAAGAGAAGGAAAAGAACCTCTTCCTCGCTCCACAGTGATATCATATTCTCTGTTTCCTCATCTGAGAATGTATTTTTCGCTTTGGAAGCAGTCTTCGACTTTCTGGAGCGACTTCCTCTGCCATTTTGACGCAAGAAAATTTCACCTTCCTCCCCTACTCAGTAGAAATTTGTCACAAAATACGCCATTTTCCATCAATTTCGGCTACGATTGTCGCAGCGTTTTAAAACATGTTTTAAAATCCTACGACATTTTTCGTGACGTGCACGACAGTCGTAAGCGAGTGGTAGATTTGATTTACACGATACAATTCGTGTCGTAGGCCTGTCGTAAGCTTGTCGCATGCGACAAAGTCGTACCGTGTAAATAGGCCTTTACGCCTCTTTGTATTTGACAATTAAAGCCATTGAAATCATGAGATAAGTGATCCCTAAAGAAGCTGCCGCCGAGTGTCTTGGAGTTAATTAAGGTAGTTTTGACTTGATGAAGTTGATTGTTGTGGTCAAATAATGCCTGGGATCTGCAGCTGAAAAGTGACCGAAGTTTTGACGCGGATTTCACAATTGACAGCCATCACGTCAAAGTTGAACGATTGTAGTGGCTAAACTAAAAACACACAGCACTCTCTGATTAAGTTTTTGAGAAGCTTCCTTTCAAACGATTAAAACACAATTGACAAGATTTGGCGCTCAGGTTAGTAAATTGTATATGCATGGGTGATGTTGAAGCATTTTGAAGCTTATAAAATGTATGTGGTCGATTCCTCTAAAACTTGAATAAATAGTTTTTTTTCGCTGCGAGGCTAACGAACTTTTAAAAAGTGAGAGATGAAAAAAGCTCTAATGGATCAAACTCAAGAGAGAAAGGTCAATGACAACCGTTAGGTCTAAAACTAAACAAACAAAACGTTAGAAGGGAAATTTCACCAGAAAATAATCATGGTTAGACTTTATCCTTACGATAACGTCAAGAACCTCAAAATATGACACTTCGTCGTTGTCATATATCTAAAGTTATCGGCCCTGTACTCGATTGTTGAAAGGACCTCTAAAACAAACGGTTTATTTCAATTGTCTGTCTTACACTTTATATTACATGAATGAGCAAACATCCTTTCTGCCGACGGTTTTCTAAATCATTGTCTAGAAAAACTGTCTTGAATTGGATGAAGGACCAATCTCGAACATACAGGGATATCAGGGTGTTTTGCAATTCCTGAGGAAATAATGTTTCAGTGAAGAAAAAGGGACAAAAGTATCCCGTGCATAGAGTTTGTTTACATTAACGAGTCTTCAAATCAAACACGAAATACTTTTGCTATATCGCTGTCCGAATTAAAAGACACCTCTGAATGCTAGAGATTTTGCAAACTAAACTAATATAAAAAAATATTTCGTTCACTCTACTGCACAAATTTGTAAATATATTACATTTCATATCGCGAACCAGCATCTTCGATATTTTTTAATTGGTGCGCTCGGGTGTGTTAAGTAGACTACAACAAACCACCCTCTCGTGAATTGAAGACAATACTGCTAAGCTTAATTTTGAAGCACTTGTCATGTATTTCCCGGGACGATCATTGATTAAACAAACCATGATATTTCGGATGGATTACGTGAGCTTAACTCTGAACGTTAAAAAAGTGATCTATATCGATATATAAATACATCGCCAAGCAATTATAAATAAATAGAACTTCATTAATGACGACACGTAAATAAAAGATGAAGATTTGACGCATGTCATGGTAAGACAAGCGAACCCTTCGTTAACAATAGATAAACTTTAAGCTGTGGAGATACCTGCGGACAAGTGACTAGTTTAAACCGAACCAGGTACGGTGGATCTAGATAAAAAAAAAAAGTCGCTGGAAGCGGTTTAGCCTAAAAATATTCAAGTGACAGAAGCTCACAAAATATTTTTCTAGCTGGCATAAAATTCGTTTAGCCCATAAAAAACTTTATCAAACCATCACATTGTTTTTAAGAACATTATGTAGAGCTCATAACGGTGTCCTCCCATTAGCAGTGAGCATCGAATCTTCATCTTGGTCAGCATCAAATCCTCATCTTGAGTCCTAAGTCTCAGCAAAATTGCTTAAAATCCATAATTTATGTTATCATTATCATTGCCTTTATTATAGAATAGGTATTAGAGTTGAGATTAGTATGAGACTTATGAACACAACCAATATCATTACTGTTATCGTTATTGCTATCATTGCAAATGTTTTTGTTATCTTTGAAGTTAACGATGGGCTGCGGTAAGAACATCTTTTGCTGGACAAACTTGTTTGGAAAAATGGATTGATTGAAAGAAATATCCGATCTAAAATGAAGAAATACATTTTTGTTATGAACATATCAAGTGCCATTTTACCAAATTTTATCATGTTATAGAACTTATTAAGCAAACACGAAAACATATCGACAAGAATGCTTAAGTTTCGAGTGAAGTAAAATCAACGAAATTTTTTGCAACAAGATTATCATTTGAAATGTTTGCTTAAGTCGCCTTTCTGTCGCGCAGTGTATCATTACCTCCTTGTTTTCACATAAGTCACAGTTTGCCACAGACAAAATAACTATATTTTTTCTACAATTACTTTTCATTGAATGAGTCTCTGTGTTTTGTTTCTATAATTTATCGTCGAGGCAGAGGCTCAACCCCCGCCGATGAAAACCATCTTTTTTGGGTTCATCTGGCCAGCAAACTAGTGCTCACGGTTCTTTGTCAGAGGTAGTTTCTGTCTCTATTTAACAAAACTGATGCTGAGTGTTTTCCCAACAGCGTCACTGCGGTTTATCAAGAGTATTGTCTGTGCATTTATTCATTTGCATGAAATCATACAAATTTATTCTAAACAATTTTAAAATCCCTTTTTTAAATCAGTTAGATATAAGAATAATGTTTACTTTAAATTTCCCTTTTATTAGTTCTCTAGACTCGCCATAGGAGGCAGCCATGCACCCTCCATGGTACATTTATCTTCCAGCCATAATGACAGTTTCAGAAGGGAAAAG